TTCTATATATATATATATATATATATATATATATATATATATAATAATGTTCTTTTAATAATAATCGAAAAGATAAAAAATCGGCGACTTTATTTTGATACCGATGCAATCAAGTTAATTACTAATTAAAGCGCGATGGAGCGTTCAGAAATATGCAACGGAGATTCAGTGTTGCACACGTGTAATATATTGTGAACGCATAAATCTCTCGCGAAATACATGTATTATTAATAAATAATATACAATAAATAACATACACGCGCGGCTTTCTGTAATTCGAATCAACCGACACGTGTACCATATCGCGCTTTCAATGCATAAAATAGTAGCGAAATTGCGATTCAGATCGATGAAAACTTTTAGAGCTCGATGCCCGATATAAGCGCATCCGAATGAAAGAAATAATTATCACACATGAATACCACGAAATGATAATTACAACTCCCTTTGTCGCTTCGATTTCTGTGCCGCGCACATATAGTATGTGCTTCGATCAGCCAGCCGTCGTCTCGATACGCTTACGAATTGTCAATCGTGCTGGTTAATTAATCGAGAACTAACAATTGCTAATTATTCGGCGGATTAATTCGCGTTTCGCGAAGTGATAATGCGACGACACGCGCCACCGCTTACACTCGAATCTTGCTGTACAAATGAAAGTATGGCGACACCTTGCGTACACACAACATATCGTTCGTAATAGCAAATGTCGCCAAGGTCGCGTATCAATCGATTTATCATTGATATGTTTGAAAAATTTGTTGTTCCGTGAAATAAAACTACGTCGAATATTCTATATCATATAACCAAAACTAATTTCGATTCTTATCGCGCATTAATTTTAACATTCATTAAAGAATTAGGATACTTAAAGATTTGAGTTTATTATTTTATTATTAATGTTATTATTGCTTCACGCGCATCAAATTTTTACGCGTTATAAGAAACGTTATGCACAATCTTAATACAATAAAAGTGTTGTTCTTGTGAGTTAAATAAACTTAAAAAAATGAGATTATATATGAATTATGTCGTAAAATAGCTATGTTAGCTTTCATCATACAGTTGAATAATAATAATAACAGTAATTATAATAATAACAATTTTAATATTAAGAAAAATTAAATAACTTTGTTTTGTTAATTATAAAACCAAAATATATATAATATTTTAAATTTAGATTTATAGTTATATTTAATAATTATTCTAAATAAAGTAATGAATTAATCATTCAATTTTTTAAAAAAGAGATTAAATAACCAATAATCACTTGTCATTTGATTACGATATAATTTACAAGAAAAGACAAAATAAACTGTAAAAAAAAATAACATATATCTTACCTAAATTTTCTAAATTAATGTATTACTCAGATTTCTTTTTTTAATTAAATATCTAGAATACTTGTTTTTAATACGGAAAAAAATCTTTTTGAAAGAGATTATATAATTTATATTATATAAGAATTAAATTTATAGTTAATAAAATACTTTAATTTTTTAATAAAATACATTAATTTTTTTAGATTACTTTTAAATAATCTTATTACTTCCAATAGCTATTGTCAAGTTATATTTATAAATTTTATAAATTGATTTAGAAATTCTTTGTCTAAAAATTCTTTATTTTGATATATTCTGACATAAAATGTAAAATATCATAAAATTTTCCAGATTTTAATAATTTTAATGACCTTATCTTAAAAATTTTATGCATAGAATTATAAGGTATATCCATTGATATAAAGAAAATATATAATTAATTTTAAAAAATGTGCAATTTGCAATATAATTGCGTATTTTCATCGACACAAAGAAAATATATAATTACTTAAAAAAATATACAACTGTATATTGCAAATTGTATATTTTTTCTTAAAGAAATTATCTTTTTTTTTAATATAAATAAATTTAGCTTATTAATTTGTATATAAAAGTACACAATTAAGCATTAAGATACAATAAGCAATTATTTTATATATACGACATACTTTTTATTTCATGTCAAAGTATGTTCGAATATAAAGTAAAACAACTTCTATACCAGCAATTTTCAAATATTTTATAATAATTTTTTATAGAAAAGAAAATACTGTGGTGAATTAATACAAATAATAAAATATAAAATAATTTTATTTATAACGAAGTTCTATTTAATGAAATAGAAACACACATTTAAAATAAAAAGCGTGATTTTGAATTGAATATTTTTTTCAACTATAATATTTGCCAATAAATTATATAACTTTTTCTATATAATCTATATAACTATATAATCTTTTAAAAGATTCTCCTTATTGTTAAAGATAACAGATATTCTAAATGCTTAAATTAGAAGAAACAAATCTGCATAATAAATTGGTAGAGAGCTCTGCGCGATAACGCATTGGTCAACTTTTGATCGCTTATAATTTGAAAATTGACGTAATCATGACATTTTCACATCTAATCTCTCCAGATTTAATCTCCGGAATACATTAAGGTATTGTACGATAATGAACAATTTCTGTAACAATGGTACTCTAGGGCAAACTTGAGATGTGGGTCGATATGTTTCGAATCGGACAATTGCCACCGAAGTCGGCGGTCAACATTTCTCCCCCAAAACCGGAGGAATATGAAATTCGTGTGATCGTTTGGAATACAGAAGACGTACCATTAATCGAAAGCCAATTCCTTACTGGAGAAAAGTGCTCCGATATTTATGTCAAAGGGTAGGTCAAAATAAATATTTAAAAAAACGATATGCAACAGAATTCTGTTGAAGTAACATAAATAACGACATATAACATATAACATATTACATATAATAGTAATAAATAATAATAATAATATAAAAAGTAAAATAATACATTTACATTCGGCTGAATTATTAGAATTTATTTAAATAAATAATAATTTATTAGCTCTCTTGATTAACAATTTAAAAATATTGAAATAATAATGATGATGTCAACGCAGATATTTCGTCAAAAAACAGAAATCAAAGATAGAAAATTGAAATTGTACATTATTGTCTTGTGATATTAACGGGTAATATTGGCGACATTTATGAATTCAGATCCAGTGATTTTAAATTTTTCATACTTTTGATTTAAACATAATTTAAAATCGCAAAATTATTTGTATTTATTTTGAATGCTTTAATTCCATGTAACGGACAGATTATTTTTATTTGATAATTGTTTGATAATTGTTTATTTTTATAATGAAAATGAAGCAGTAGCTTTTAGTTGTTAAAAATTTAATTTTTATGTATAATTAATTCTGTTTTAGTTCTAATGCAATAAAATAATTGACTTCATGGTAAGAGGGGTGATCAATTTGATTCGTTTGCCGAATTTGATATTTGTTCGAAATAATTGCGTAGGTGGATTTTATACGAGGATTATCAGAAGACTGACATCCACTATAACTCCCTGACTGGTGAGGGTAACTTCAATTGGAGATTCGTATTTCGTGTCACGTATTCGAAAGGCGAGAACATCATGGTAGTCCGTAGAAGAATGTCAGTGTTTGCGAAAAACGAGATGGAGGAAAAGTTGCCTTGCAAACTGCGTTTACAAGTTTGGGATAGTGATCATTTTTCCTCGGATGATTTTATTGGTAATCGGAATACGCTATATAATTTTCAATATAAAAGTTTTTAAATTTAAAAATTTTTTTATCAGTACTTAGAACTTAGGGTATATTTCGCATGATGCGATATGCAAAAATGCAAGAACATATAATATATCTTATATTTGATAATAATTTTTTAATTAACTCAATATGTTATACATATTATATACATATATTTATATCCGGGTTATATAAATTTTAAAAATTTTAATTCATTGTATCTGTACTGCAGAGGAAATAGAAAATGATTATCTGAAACGATAAATTATTAAGTTTATGATTAATTAACATGATTCGCGACACATTATATAAACGATATGAATTCTCCGATTAATCAACATGTTGCAGGAGAGTTGACACTTGACTTGTCCAGAATGCCACGAGGCAGTTCAAACTCCAAAAACTGTACGCTGAAATTACTCGAACCGCAATTACCTACAATAAATTTATTTAAAGTTACACGGACCAGAGCTTGGTGGCCTTTTTCTCGTAGCGTTGACGCCGGTAGATATATTCAAGCGGTAAAATATTATGAGAGGAGGCTTTCGCTTGGAACAAAATGTTTTAGATAAATTGAAGAGCTAAATATAATTATATGAAAATTACGCTATGTAGAAAAATAAAGATAAAATTATTAGACAATTCTTTATTGTTTAAAAGTTACATCTTTTTTCACTGTAGGGTAAAGTTGAGCTGGAAATATCTATCTTAAAAGCAGAAGATGCAGATAATCAACCGGTAGGAAAAGGACGGAATCCACCTCAAATTCTTCCTTCTCCAAGGTTCATTCTTTTTTTCATCTCAAGTTTATTAATCATATTGTATAAATATTATATTTCTCTCATAATCTCTAGCTCTAATAAAAGCTTATTCTCTTTCATTTTCTACATTAAATTTTCTACATTTAATTTTTAATTGTTAATTATTATCAACCATATGTTTTATTTTGCAGACGACCTGATACTTCTTTCTCCTGGTTTCGCAACCCGTGGAAGGCATGCTGGTTCGTCGTTTGTCGTTATTATAAATGGCGAATATTATGCTGTTTTATGTGTACTCTATTCGTGCTTTTAGTAGCATGTGGCATTTACGCTTTCCCCGGATATTTTGTTAAACGTCTCTTGGGCGCTTAGTTCTTAAATTTAACGTACATTTTTAACGTATATTTGACTATATATTCCTGAATTCTATTTCACAAACTTAAAAGTTAATATCTCTGTAATTGTATGGGTAAGAAATAAATTAATAACCACATATGTTTCTCTTCTATTCTTTAATCTATTTTCATTAAAAAATTATTATTATCATATTAAATTAATAAATTAATAAAAAAATTATATAATTAATTATATATAAAATTATATAAATTATATAAAAAATTATATAAAAATTATATAAAAAATCATTTTGCTTTTTTTCATTCAGCGTTCATTCTGACCTGATTAGCAACGTACAATTGATTAGTATTGTATGTAACTAAGATTGTCGTATCTTGCTCTGTAAGGCGATATAGCGGGAAGTTTACGCCTCCGCGTATTTCGAATGTCACGATACTAACGTCGCGCGTTCGCGCGAATTGTACGCTCCGCATTATTTACTCGTTCAAAGTGCATATCGTATGTGCATAACACTAAACGTCGGGAATACCACGGGAAGTGACGGACGAACATTATATCGTGTTCATTAGCACGCAGGATTTCAATTAACGTGTTTTCCCGACGTGTCTGCCCGATCAACAAGAAAGGGTGTCCAATTCGATAATGGAGTCAGACGGTGGCGCATCGATTGACGAGCCAATTTATCTATTTGCACTGTCGCAACTAATTGCTCAGTTATTTTATTCGTAATAATTTAACATAGTTGTATTTATATATTATATCACTTTTTTCCTTTTATGGAGAGTAAATACGTGTGCCCTCTTCCCCCCCTCCCTTATCACACACACACACACACACACACACACACACACACACACACACACACACACACACACACACACACGCGCGCGCGCGTGTGCGTATGTATGTGTATATAAAAAGTTAGATAAGAAAATAGAAAAGAATTAGAATTGACTTCCATTCCATTCTTAATAAAAAATGCAATGCAATCACGTTAATTTAAACGGATGCTCGTTGCATTACAACCCAAGTTCTAGATAATAATAGCAATTAACTATTTCTATTAAACTATATCCTATCTAAATGATCGCAGTTATTATCTAGAGTCTCATATAATCCAATCTGAGGATGATAATGATGAATTTCAATTTCCATTTATCATTCTATTTAGTGTAGATCATTCCAAATATGTTGTTACATTGTAACGTTGTTGATAAGTGTTTTATAATGTTATAGATAAGTTATCTATAACATGATTATGAATATGTATAAGCAGGATTTAAAATAATTGAAATAATGTAAATAGTTTACATAAGCCAAAGTTTAATTTTATATCTAAAATATAGTGTCAAATTATATTCGATTATAGTCATTCTTTTTTTATAATTTTACAGCTTTATATTTTAGATATAAAATTATTGTAAATTTTGTTTTTAAATATTTTTTTATTATTTTATACCAAATATTTCTGAGATTTTTTATAATAAAATAAAAAATAATCTACGTATGAGTTATGATTATTATTAGTTAATTATTGTATTATTTCAAATATCCTTAACAAAAATTAAAAATTTCTAAAATGTTATTAAAATGTCATTAAATAAACAGAATTGTAACATTTTTCAGAGTATTAAGAAAAATTCAATTAATATACTTTTGACTCTTGAATCAAATGTGCTTTTCATTTCTTTTTCAATTATTTTTCAATTTGTAAAGTGTATATGAAATATCACATGTTTCCCGCGCACTCGAATAATTAATATTATAAGCTTTATATTTATCAAACGTTTTGTGTATTCAAATATTGCAATATATTTCGAGCAAAGACTTAAATTGCACGCATGTAATCTATGAGCGTAAAATGTGAAGCCGTGAAGATGCACGCATAATCGAAAATTTCACTTCCACAATTCATTTAAAGCTTACAATAATGTGACAGAAATTTATTGATTAAATCTGTTATATGTTTCACTGAGTAATAAATCTTCAAATATGACTATATGTTTTGAAATATTTATTTGTTTTCGAATATTGAAAATAACGCTTGGTTATAGCTTGAATCGACGAACGCTTTAGAGACATCATAAAATATTAATAAACAAACATTTCAACATCTTTTCCTGTAAAAAATTTTATATTTACTTTATAATAACATTCCATTATTTTTTATTTACATGTATGAGCAATTTACTATTTTAGTTCCATTCAATTTATTTTCACGAGACATATTACATTACAGTGTTCTTTTTGAGGGAGGACATTTTAACATTACAATCCTACCTTTTGAGGCTTCCATAGTTACTATCTTCAAAAAGATTAATACATTTAATTATTTACGAGTATTATTCGCGTCATGATACATTGTTAAATGCCATTGTTAAGGCAAAGAACAGACTGATAATGATCCATTAATGATCAAGCTGCTTCTCGCTCTAATGAAGTGAGCTGCAATGTTCACGAAACGTTGGCATTTAACAATGTATCATAACACGGACACTGTCCATAAACGTATTAATTTTTTTGGTTGCACAATGCAACTTTACAAAAATATTATGACAGTATTTCGCAACTCGTACTTGCAACATTGTAATCTTGCAATGAAATATTCCTGTCCATCTTTTTGTACTATATATAGGATATTATAGATTTTTACTTACAAAGATAACAAAGTGTAAATTCTATAGGAACAGTATAATTTCAATTCATGCCGTCTTTAACAATCTTGGCTGCTTGTGATGATTTAGATTTGCAATCAGTATATCTTGTGTCGAGTAAGTTATCACTGCACGATTCGAATACGACATCACAATACTATACGTGTAACCTAAGTCTGCGAATGCTGTGAGCTCGTCGTGTTTCATGTAATTTACTCGTTTAAAATGCATCATGCATGCAATAGACATTAAGAGTACAGTAAAAAGTAATGAACAAATATTGTATTATAACGTGAAAATTAGCGTATGCAATCTCATTAACCATTTTTCTCATCAAGTATGCATGTTTAATTCGACATTGGAATCTAACAGGTGATAGTAGTGTATCAAGCAGGACGTCGATTTATTTGTCGTATTATAAATATTTAGTTAAATATTTATTATTATA